ATTGTTACAGGACAGTTGTGGACAGTAAGTTTGGACACTTTGAACAATTTTGGACAATTAAATAAATTAAAATTACTCAAAATTTTATTAAGATAATCTATATTACTTTCTAAGTAAAATATGTTTAGCACCTAAAAAAATATATAGTTATATATATTTTAAACAAATTTATTAATTATTAAAGCTTAAATATACTCTGGACACTTTTGGATACTTGGACATTTGGACATTGGACAGTACCAAAAAAGCCTTTGGATAGTCAAAATATATATCTCTGCCAATGGTAATTGCTAGTTGTACTGTAATTAATAGCAATCATTGAGAAAATTTCAAAAGGTCAAGATGCAAAGGGACCCCACGCCAACTTCTCTAGTTTTTCATATAAATTTCCATAGAATTTTCATACAAATTCATTGACAGAGGTTGATAATGAGCCAAGATTGCGAAGTAAAGTATTAACGCATTCTTGGTATGCGGTATTATAAAAGCTTGCAGTATTTGAACTAGTAAATAGGAGGAGATTATTTCGTGTGTATACACCAAAATGTTCTATAAAATTTTTCCAGAATTCATCACTACAATAGGAGGGGTTATTTAGGGTGTAAAAATAATAATGGTTTACAGCATCTGTTGCTTGTATAACCACCTTTAGATTATTTAATAATGCCAAGTGTACTAAGGTTCTATCTTCTATATCTGTAACATACTCCGAAATGGTAAATGGCGAAATTTTACTAATTTTTTAAATGAAAAGAGATTACTCTGGGCAGATATTATTAAACGGGCTTTCTCTTTTCAAGAAATATATGAGGTGGTTCTTAAAATGTCTTGTGATTTATTGTTTTGAAAATCAACAGCATATTTAAGATCTATCTATTTAGACTAGAGGTAATGACGCACATCTCTTCTTATAACCGGTTCCTCTATCCCCAACTAGTGACCAAGAGCGACCTATAAATATTTATTTTTTGCATTATCAGAATAGGAATTAGCATCATCATGCTCTCCCATTTTAATTATTTCTTTATTTACTAACAGAAAGAAATTAGATGGACATTGGATAACTTAATATTATTAGCCGATCTTGCCTCTCAAATTAGCATGTTGATTAAAAAATTTTTGGCTGAAATTTCTTCGCAAATTTTGATACCCCCTAATGATATACGATCCAACAGACAAAAGGAGACACTCTTCCATTCATTTTCAATATAATAAATTTTATCACACGTACGCAATCTCTGAGTTGCATGTTGGGTTCGGTACTAATATAATGGAAAATAAAATTAGATATCTGATACAATTATCGATACGAATAATTATATAAACCTGCACTAGGTTGTATATTTTTTGCAGACTAAACAAACCACCCAAGTCAATGTACTGAGCTATCAAAATAATGATTATGCCCTTTTAAACACATAACATACAGAAGCCAGAGACCCTAGCTGCAGAACAACAATTTTTTTGCATGGCTTAAGTATACTCGTAACAAGTAACTTGGATGATTGACCGATCAACACAAAAATAACCCAAGCATGGGAGTAAAACTGGAATCTAAAGCAAAAACAATATATAACCAATCTGAATCAAAAATAATATTGTTTGTTATCAATGGTAAAATC